GTCGCGTACTGTGCAGCACCGTGTGTGGGCACGTTGCTGGCGTTGGCGGCGCGATAGCACAATCAGGGCAGCGCCAGGGCACAATGAGGCCTCCTCGTGCGCCGGCGCCGGCCTGGCTTGCTGTTGAGCCCACCGTGCGCATGTCGTCACCGGTTGCCCGTCCCCCAGCTGTGGTCCCCACTGTCTTTCCAACCCTGGCCGAGCCGGGTCCCGCACGGTGGGTGGTGGGTGGGGACCTTCCCTCACTTTGCGGCTGCTGCTGCTGCCGCTGCTGCTGGCTCCTGCCTCGTCGAACCCGGACGCCCGCCATTGGGATTGCGCACGCCCCCTACCCCCCCTCCATGCACGCCCCACTCACATCCTGCTCTTTTTTCTTTTCTTTTTTTTGTCTTTTCTTTTGTGAGCCAGCAGCGTTCAAGCGTTTTTCCCTTTCGGTGCTGGACCCGCCCGCCCTCCTTGTCTCTCCTTGTCGAACCGCTGCCACCAGCTGGCTGCTATGACCTAACTCGCAGCGATGGCCACCATGGAGCATACCTGCTGGTGGTTATTTAGTGCTCGGGAGGCGTTCCTGGAGGTGAGATGCACGTATCTCCCCGTCAACAAACCGGGCCGGTACTTTGCATGTAAATCTTGGCCTGCCGCCCATCGACTTTCGCCTCACTTTGCGCAAAACCACAATCGCCATCTCCAAGAACCGCTAGCACCGCGAAGAAAAAGAAACGAGAAGCGCAAAGGGCCGATACTTGCACCCTGTTTATTTGCCCGTAGAGCCAGGGTCCAAGCACACCATCTCGGTATCTGTTCGTCTGCCTGCCTGTCTCTGGCCTAGCACACACCCTCTACCCCAGGACTGCCAGGGGAGCTAGCCAGACACCCAGGCATACAGGACAGCAGAGCAGCAGAGATAGACGGGGATAAACTCGAGGTCCACCTCCAACCAAGACCTGTCTGCGCACATCACCACCTCGAGCGTCTATCAACCACCTCCTTGGACACGAACAGACGGGTTGCTGGATCCGGGTGGGCGCCTCTCCAAGTCGGCCAGACGATTAGCGCAGAGTCAAACTGGGCCAGGACCTGCGCGTGTACCTGACTGCGCCCATCACCACCCCCTAACTACCTCCTCAAATTCTCTCAACCCGGCCGCCTCGCGACTAGCAGTTGGCGCTGCGAGCACAACGCCCCCCGCCCGCCCACACCGCACGCGGCCACTAGCCGACCGTCCTGATCGTCTTGTCCGGTCTGATCTGGACCGTATCAAATCCCCATTTACCGCCCGCCAGACCGCCAGTGTCGATCCCTTGCCTGTTTCGGTCTTGGTTCACGGCTCTTTCGCAAAAAAAAAAAAAAAAAAAAAAGTAGTCACCAGAGGAGAGAAAGAAAAACCAGCAGCCCTGGTCACCCCCATCTGCTCGACTTTTGGCACCCCCCAGCACCCCAGCAGGGCCCCCCTGTACAGTTGGTTGATGCCCCCCAGCTGCACCCCCTTTAGGCCGCTGTCTAGAAGGGACGTATCCTTCGTCGATCACTCGGTTTTGGGACCTCGTCAGAGGGTCCCACCTTGTCCCGCTGACCACAGAGGGAGTTGAGTACGCTAGCCTAGCCCCTCTGGAGGGGAGGTACCTGTTGGCCCTAGAACCCTGCTGGAGGATACCTGCAGCCGTCCTCTCCACCACCGCACCCGCTATCAGTCGTCCTATCCCATCCCACAACGCAGACACACACCACACACATTCGCATACATACACTCCGCCTGCCTCTCTTGCTTCGTCCAGAGACATAAGGATCGCTGATCTCCCATTCTCGCGGATCTCCCTTCTCAGTCTTGTCTCTTCACTACCAGAACCACATCGCCTCCCTCCAAGAAGACGGCACTGCCAGCGCCCATCTCTTCTTATCCCGCCACCGTCGCATCAGATCAGCACACAAAGCCTGCTTTAGATCTAGTCGCCGCTGCTCATCGTCGCCGCGGCATTGCACCTCACCTCGCACCAAGGGTCAGGAGCACCAAGAAGGAGCTGCTACACGAACACCAACCACTAAGCTCCCCTCCACCGCACTACCCACGACGCGGTAGTCGCCATAGCAGAGGGACCAAAAGGAATAGTTTTCACATCATGACGATGACGTTGGACCCGAACTCGCAACGCTTCGGCTCGATAAACTACGGCCACATGTCTTCCTACCCACCAAGCCAGCCGCACTTCACGAACCCGTGGTCAGCACCGGGCTCGTCGGCGGTTGGCGGCCCCAACGCCGCGCACGCCATGTATAGCAGCTCGCAGCCCGGTCTGAACCCGAACCCGTTGAGCCTAGACACCTTGACGAAGCACCACCAACACCAGGCGGCACCGCAACAGCAGCACGTCAGCAGAACGAGCGGCGGCAGCGCGGCTTCCATGTCTTCCTACGGCTCCGTCCCTGTGACGAGCGCATCCGCAGGCAGCCCTCACAGTATGGCCCACGTTGCCGCCCTTGCAGGAGGACCACAGGACTTACTCTCTTCATCTCAAGATCTCCTCAGCCTGGGTCGTCTGGCACCAGCAGTTAGCAACGTGCCGACCTCGGCGGGCTACGGCGATGCCCCGTACACGTCGGCATCCCCGATACACTCGACCTACGCAGCAACATCGCAGGCACCCTACGAGAGCATGGGCCGCTACGCGCCTGCCCCGATGCAGCAGCCCACATTCACCCTCGCATCCGACGCCGACAACGGCGCACGGAGGTATTCGCAAACGTCAGTTGAAACCAGACTAGGGTAGCTTGGCACCCGAGATGGCTAGCACGTAAAGGTACAAGATATACTAACACCCCAATCCCGAATACAGGAGCATCCCTCAGGATGACCGCACCCGGTTCGCAGATGCGCTGGAGGCCAGCCAGGGGATGCTTTCGATGAGCCAGGAGACCCCGCGCAACATCTATGGCCCCCCAGCAGGCGGCAGGTCACGAGGCTCGGCCGACTCTTACGGATTCCCCGCAACGCACTCGACCTCGTCTAGCGTATCGTCCTCCAGCGGATTCGGATACTATGGCGGCTCCGTCGACTCGAGCGTGAGCGACTACTCGACCGCCGGGTCCGACATCGAGTCGGTGGCCGCCCGGACGCTTCCGCGGCCCCAGGGCCTGCTGGGCCACCAGGTTCCTCCGGCGCCGCAGTCCATGATGGGGCAGTTCAGCTCCAAGGTTTCGAGCAGCACCCAGAAGAAGCACAAGTGCAAGGTTTGCGACAAGCGCTTCACGCGCCCCAGCTCGCTGCAGACGCACATGTACAGCCACACTGGCGAGAAGCGTAAGTGGTGTTTCCCTCGCCTCAGCCGGCCTGCCCTGTTTTCCTCGAGGTCAACGGATGGACGACTACCATAGCAGGATACAGACAAGATGCTAACACTTCCCCGGTCCCCCAAAATATAGCTTTCCAATGCGAGGTAGAAGGCTGTGGCCGTCACTTCTCGGTCGTGTCCAACCTCCGGCGGCACCGAAAGGTGCACAAGGGCGACGCGCGGTCTGAGGCTGGCTCCGAGGACCACCAATCCGACTAAGCGCCTGCGACGCCCTCTTCTCCCACCGCCGACCTTGCGGTCCCTGTCTGCGCGGTGCGCAAGGCCCAAGAAGACTCTCGATTACCACAGTTTCCAGCTTTTATTCACCCCGTAATCACGAGCGACAAGATATTCCTCGCCCTCTGGACATAGACAACCTTACGCACCTTTTAATTCACGTCCTTCGCTGTCCATAACTTATTTTACATCACTATTCTTCCAAAATCTGTCATGCCGCCGAACACCCAGGCATCCCACCACCGACCCATTTGCGAGCGAGCTTCGTTTCCTCCCTTCTCTGGGGACGCGCACAAATCCCACGCGATTCGACCCAAAGGTGATCGGCACACGCCGTCTCCGCACCGACCGCCGATCTTCCACGCGAGGTCTTGTGGCCCTCCCAACTTGGGCTGGGTCCCCATGAGCCCCCAACGCAGGCAATATCCTCAGGTATATTGCGAACAGGCAATCCACTCCACTCCCCTCCTTCGGGTAGGAGCCGGTGTCTTGTGTCTGTGTGGTGGTCTCTTGTCCAACGGATCGTGCGAGCGCGGGCGTCATGGGATGACCAGCTGTCCGCGCCTCTTGCTGATGACGGCGTGCTTCCCCTTTCTTCTACCATTCATGTCTGTCGCTCTTCATGACGTTGCCCGTCTTGGACCATGCATTTCTTTCCGAGTCCTCTTTATTTTTAACGGATACCCATTCAGTTCTGCTTCGAGCGAAATGGTTTCTGGTCTTTCCTTGTTCTTCCTCACTTTTGCTTTTTCCATTCCTCACCCTGTTTCCACTATTGTAGGTGAAGGCCTGGAGGGCCTCCCCATCATGATGAGTTTCAAGAGAAGAGAGGAGCAGATTGGGAAAACTGGGTGTCGATCGGGGCCCCATAAAAGGCGTTTCTGGAGTTTCTGCTTTTTTTTTTCTCTCCGCTATTGTTTCTGGTGTTGGCGCTGGCAGGACTAGGAGGGGACTTGCATGTCCATTCCAAGTTCCTTTCGCATTTCCAGCATTGCTTTGATATTTCCCCTATTTGCTTTTCGTTTTGCTCATTTTTTCACCGCCCTGAGGGAAGAGGCGGTCTCGGCTCGGATCTACGGTTGCTTTTTTTTCTTTTTTTTTTCCTGGCTTTCGGCTTACGGCGCTCACCCCATTCACTCGCTATCTGCAAAGGCCCTTGATAATCAGGGCACATAATTGTCTCTCGCTCACTTGGTCTCCTCCTTGTAACAGGAGGAAACCGCAAGCGCTCGCTCATAACGTTTTTAATGCTCCCCGCGGGGGGTTCTCAACACACACACTTACACATTTCGATACGCTCGCTCGGCGAGGTTGGGGGATAATCATGTACTACTAGATCTTCACGACCACGACATTATACCCGCCTGCACTACCTTATTACACTATTTTCTTGCACATCATCCAAACATGCCGTTTACCGTTGCAGGCTTGGTCGCATAGGACCCGGTTTGGAGGCGAGGGCGCGGGGGAGGGATCGGAGGCATTAGATGACGAGCCATCCATCTATTTTTGTCGTCTGCTGTCAGCTCCTCCCTCTTGCTTTTGGCTGCCCAATTTGATATTAACAGATAATGAAGGCGAGAACTACTACACAAGGCAATTGAATAGAAAAAGATCGGCAGTCACACACCTCCCTGGTCATCATCCCCAGTCCTTGTGTTATCGGTGGCGTTTGGGCTACCGGATGCATCCGCGCACTATTTTGCATTTTGTTTTTGGGCCTATCGTCGCCATCTCGCCCTACCCTCTCCCCGCCCTCTTGGGTACAACACCGGCCCCCACCTTGCCGCGACTGCTGCGCTGACTACTACTACTGCCCAACAGCAACAACCAGTAGCGTGACGGGTTTTTCGGTTCCCCATTCGGGGTGGCGATCGTCCCCCCCC